GTAGAGTGGGGGGGGCCATGGGTAGCGTGCCAGGGGGAGCTAGGAACCAGGTCGCCTCCTTTCTCCCCCGGCCTGGCCACTTCCGAGGGGAGGGGCACGTCATGTTACTTCTCTGTGCCTCAGTTTCTTTCCTGCCAAGCTGGCCCTGCGGGGCAAAGGGGGAGGCGGCACTGGAGCTCCACTGTCTTGGCCTTGGCAGGGGGTGTAGGGGGCTGAGAGCCCCCCCCCCCCGTTCTGGCCCGGGCCCCCGTGCCGGGGCAGCAGCGTCTGTCGCGAGTGGGGGGCTCCAACCAGGGTGTCACAGGGTGCAGAGAATGGGGCTCAGGGCCTTCGCCTTCTTGGGGGCACCAGCCCCCATCCGGCCCCAGGCCTGGAAGCAGGGTGCCCTGTAAGCTGGGTGCTTGGGCAGCCACCCAGGAGAGATTCAAATGCTGCCCGGCTGATTAGCAGAGCGCCCCCAGCCAGCAGTCCTGTTTCTAGGGGTGGTGCGCGCCTGCGTGTGTCTCCGGGCAGGCACTGAATTTATTCTGCATGTGGATGGGAAAAGTTCGAGGGCGCGTTGGCGGAGGCTGCTTTAGGGGGTCTCTTGCTCCGGTCAGGGCCCTCGTCATTAATCCCCTTTCATTCAGCAGGCAGGGGCTGAGATGCGCTAGGTGCTGGACAGAGTAGCACAGGCCCCGGCCCAGCGCACGCACCACCTCCATCTGCATGCTGGGAGCTGAGAGCGGCCAGTAGCCAAACGGGTCCGTCTGGAGCGGCGACTCTCCCCCCTCCAGGCCGTCTCACTCTGAAATTGGGGGGTGAGCCACCCCACCTGAGTGTGTGTCCCGCACGCTCCTCTGCTTCCATCTGCTGCCTGGGCTCCCAGGCCGGGGCTGGGCTCCTGGGCCCTGCGTCAGTGGGCCTTTGCTGCCAGGGCAGGCTGAGGGGAGCTATGAGTTCAAGCCTCACTTGGGAGGCTGCCTCAGTTTCCCTCTTAAGGCCCTCCCATTGCTGTGCTTCTGGGGCCATGCTGAATGGCAGGCTGGGTCCCTCTCCACCTGGGATCACCGCCTGCCAGGCACTGCAAACGCACGGAGAAAGAGAAATCCTGCCCCAGCTGGGCTCCGTCGTGCAAGGTGCTGCCCGGAGCCGCCCCCCGCGTGCTGTGGGGAGCCGAAGGCGGCAGGTTGGGGTTCAGGGGTGGGGCTCCCGCCCTCCGTGCGCTCTGTGCTCTCACCGTCACTGCCTCAACCCTTTCTGCAAACCCATTTCCTGTCGCTTCCGTAGCGGCGCCCAAAGCTGGCCGCCCAGGGAGGGAGCCAGGCCTCTGCAGCTGTATCTGCCGGTCTCGTGTGGCGTGGACGCACGCC